TTTTTATGATACAAAACGACCCTGAAAATCCCAGGTCGCTCGCTCAATTCGTTTTCGAGTTTTCGTGCGGACAGATACACAGACACACAGACAGAAAAAGTTTTTTCCGAGCAGACGGAGTAATAGGCTTCGCTAATCGCTCAGCCAACAAATTTTTCCAAAGCTTTAAGTGGAGTTGAACTCGGAACATTTAAATTAGTAGTCCTGTAGCCTAAAAACTAACCATTACCCTGGGGCAAACGCTGCTAGAAGAGGAATGTCAGCAAGCGATCCCTTTCTAGAGCAGAACTCAGGCGGTGCCCCTACCAGCTCCATGGCGTATTGGGCGTTAAGCGTTGTACGTTAGAAACGATCTGCGAAACGTAACCTTTAATTTGATTTTGTCCCAGGGATGGAAAATAGGAATTACATTAATCGAAACGGTGCGAGACTTCATAGCTCCGTTCCATCGGAACTATTCGAAGGAACAGAACTAAACAAAGAACAAAACTGAGGAAAACTCACTAGAGTAAATCTGCGTTTCGATTCCAACATTTTTGTGCGTGGGAGTAAAATATAGTTCCGTTCTTTTGGCAACGTCAAAGGACAACAAGGGAAAGTATGAACACAAAATGAATTTTGTGCTAAGTAGGAAACTCGTTCTTTAACTAAACCACTGTAGTTCTTCGAAATCAGTTCGTACTTTCATCTCAGAGTAAAAGAAGTGTGTGTTGAGGGTGATGAAGGGTTTTCCGTGGCGATAAAAGGTACATTTAAAACGCCCGCCGCGCGCTCACTGTGAAGTAGTTACCATGTCCGTCCACAGGTGGCAGCACAAATGGCGCCGCCATAACCCTACGTACTCCTTCCACCGTCACGGGACTTGCAATTTTTTAGGAGGATCTGTTAAGTAGACTCTCTTTAAAATGCTTCGGTAGCGACTTAAAACGTATGAATATAAAAGTTCAAATATTCAACATAACAGCTCAAAGTTATACTATTTAACCTAAATAAAGGTTCATGGCTTTAATTTAGACGAGCGTCCCCGCTGTACAGTAGCACTTACTATTGCCATGTCTGTAGGTGTTGTATGTTCTGAGATGATAGCAGGAACAGAAAAAGCGTGGCACCGCACTGAGAACAATACTCGTTCATCCTACCTAAGGTAAAGTGGGATGGTAAAGAACGTGTAAAAAACGTATCGGTCCTACGGGGAAAGTCCCAACACGCACCCAGAGAAACATTTAGTTGATACAACTAAATCAGGGTTGGAAGAAACAAAATTTAATTCCTTAAACCGACTAAAATTTAGTAAACCGATTTTTAACTAAAAATAGTCGCACCAATCAAAGTAAGTCATGTAGACTGAATTATTTCATCGCCACGCATAAATTTTGGTCCCCAGAGCTATAATTTCGTCTGTTTTGAATTTGGTTCTGTGGACTCAACGGTTTTCTGGGTGCGGCCAACTGTGACCTGTCTCATAAGGGTGCATGTCTGTGCCTCTGCGTCCGTGCGTCTACGTGCGTGTGTGCGCATCTGTGTGCGTGCGTAAGTGTTCGTGCGTGCGTGCGCATCTGCGCGCGCACGCGACACACACGCATCGGTGCACGCACGCGACAAGCACGCAGATGGTCACGAACGCAGCTGCAAACGCAGTTGCGCACAGTGCGCACGTGGATGCATGCGTGCGTGCGGGTGTGTTGGGAAGAAGAAAGAATATCGTGACGTCACACTGACGCCCCCCCCCCCCCCACCGCTCTCTCTTGCTGTTGTGTGCCGGCAAGTGACCAGGAACGAAACGTTTTGATCCTCTAGTCACGTGGCCAAGGAGGAGCGAAGGAGTCGAGGAAGGAGTGAACGTTTTACTTCAAAGTGTGCGCGCATGATTTCTCCAACAGTATTGGGATAAAACACTCCTTTAACGTTTTAGAATCAGAATCAAAAGGAGTATAGATCGACACAGGGGGTTTGATATATTACGTAAAAGAAAGAGTTGTGATAAACATATCACCTTTAATTTTCTTTAAAAAAAATTCTTAAACATTTTTTCCCGAAAAATGTAATGAAAAATCTTTGTTTACGCGCAAACTTTTAAGTTAAACGATGAACTTATCTCTGCGCTACAAGTGTCGGGACAAAAAAGATGCCTCTATACCTACAATCTATTGTTGTCTTATAGTTCAGTGTCTAAAAGGAGATGGAACTCTACCCACTTATACCATGGCCATCTGTAGAAGGCCAAAAACTACATTGAGTCTGAGTCGATTATATGCCGAAAATCAGTTTTTTAACTTTTAACCACCCTTAAATAAATGCCCGACATCGAGACAGAGCGCAGCCGAAAGCGGATCGGACTTTGTTGAGCCTTATTGCGCGAATTTACTGTTTTCTTAGGACGCGTTAGCATGCCACTCTCTCTTATGAACTGTTAGATTTAAGTCCAATTCCGCAGTAAAAGTATTTGTGTGGCCAGTAATTAATCGCTTGTCGGTGTAATATGTCATTGTATCAGTGTCACTAATACGCTTTGCACCCAGTAAAATTTGAATCTTTTGGCATACACACTTTAGTCAGATGACAGGTGAATTGTCCGAGGAGGGAAACTAATGTATGGTAGAAGTATGGCTAATAAACGGAGGAAAGAATCGTGGGTCTACAGAGTTATACCATTTACAAATGTACTTACGGACGAGCTATCATCAAGACGTTCATTGATTGTGTAGTTGGCAAATAAAAACATGTCATTGTGGTTATGACGGTTTCTGACTAATCGAGTCTTCACCGGGAAAAAGGGGTCGACCAACCCTTTAGGACACTCGGTCCATTGATCAATAAAAACATCATACGGCCCCTGCAAAAATAAAGAAGAAATCGAAGTATTTTTAGATTGCAGCATAACCATTTTCTTTTGTAGCACCCTTTCCGAGGGGGTTTTCACTCGACATTTCGTTGTACACGGTACACGGTAAAAAAAGATTCTTGTATTTCAAGACTCGGTCTTGGATGCCATTGGCGCTCTCCATAAGATCCAAGACAGGGTCTTGAAATACAAGAAACTTTTTTTACCGTGTATTTCGTAATACGTGTATTTTGCCGGTATTTCGCCGGTATTTCTCAGGAAAAGTTCACCGTTTTGGAGCATATTTCGGCATATTTTGGTGTATTTCATGCGAAATACCTGTGAAATACCTCATTTGGTGTACACGGTATTTCAGAAGTGAAAACCCCCTCGACCCTTTCCCTTTCTAATGTGGGTCGCCCGGGGCAGGGCTCCGTGCTAGAGTTTCGGGGTCGGAAATATTTCCCGGAAAAATTGGAAGTGTTTCCGAAACATTTCGGAAATATTTCCGAGGGGTCAGAAATATTGAAATAAGGATGGCGACCGCCACTTTCGGCCGCAAGGATCGCTGAGTACTGGAGCTGAAGCGCGCCGCCGCGGTCGGGCGGAGCGAAAGGGAGAGTAGGGGCAGTGTGTAACAGATTTTGGAATTTGGCTATAAAAGTCAAACCATGAAAAAAAATGATAAATCGGACGCAAAAGAAAAGATTGGATACAAACATTTACATTTGGTTCCGAACGTGCCATATTCGAAATACGGGGGTCTGTTACACACTGCCCCCCACCCTATCTTATGTCAGCATAAACTGAAATTGCCTTTTTGGGTGTTTAATTGATGCAAAGTACATCGACCCTTACATCAAAATAAAGGTGAAAGGATGAGGATTACAACGGTACAGTTCGTTATGTGATTAAAGGGCCGTTTGGGAAAATGGCCTGTTTTTCGAGATCACATGTGCTTTTTCAGGCCGTATTTTGTCATGCTAGGAGACGAGCTATCAACCTACACAAAGCGGGCCGATTTTCCGCCTAACCTTAAACTCTAAATTTCTTTTTGCCGCAAGGTGATACGACTTTTGGTTTCTAAAAACGAAGCTCAAATTTACACCCATGTCGGGGCAGGCCGGGCGTGCTGCCAGGGCGGGCGCGACCCATAGTGGTCCATAGCGGCCCGTAGCGTCATCCGCAGACGACTGCCGCCTGCCGCCATGAGAGACTGCCGCCTGGCCCGACATTAGCCCGTATCAACAAGCAGGCCCACCCTTCCGCCAAACGAAGTTGCCAGCTCCGCTTCGCTCCGCCGGCAACTCCGTTCGGCAGGGGCCAGGCCTGCTTGGCCTGCCGGCGGCGATGGTCGGGCCTGCGGCCCGACCATTTCTGTCACGCGATTTGCTGAAGAACATGATCGACTGATGTAGCAGGCCTTCGTCCCGCTTAAATCCGTCATCTTTGAGTTTGCCCCAAAGACTCGAGAAAGGGATGTAACGGTGAAGCACCGCGACTACAACCCACCCTTCTGCTTAGAAAACGTTTTTTGGGGTGGGGGTGGGGAGAGTTTCCTTTCTATTTTGCAGTTTTTAGGCCTTTTTCTTCAACTTATTGCTCACTATGGCAACTTTTAGCTTAAATTCGTCTAAAAAGACCCTCTAGCGCGTAAACGGTTAGAGATGGAGCAAAACGGACTCAATTTTCGCCCAGAGGGCTCTACTTTCACGAGTTACCCCTTAAGAGATCATAAAAAAAATTATTTTCTCCAACTTTTTTGGCCTTTCCTGTTTTCTTCGGTACCCCCTCTCTCTCTGGCACATGGAAGTTGCCAGCTTCGCTTCGCTGCGCCGGCAACTCTGTTCGGCAGGGGCCGGGCCTGCTTGGCCTGCCGGCGGCGATGGTCGGGCCTGCGGCCCGACCATTTCTGTCACGCGATTTGCTGTAGAACATAATCAAATGATGTGACGGGCCTTCGGCCCGCAAAGCCCGTCGTCCTTAAAATTTGCCCCGTAGACACGAGAAAGGGATGTAACGGTTAAACACCGCGACTACAACCCACCCTTCTGCTTAGAAAACGTTTTTTGGGGTGGGGGGACCTCTTTTGCGGTTTTGGGCCTTCTTTTACATTTAATTGTTCACTACAGCAATATTTAACTTATTTTCGTCAAACAAGACCCTCTAGCGCCTAAACGGTTAGAGATAGAGCCAAATGGACGAAATTTTCGCCCAAAGGGCTCTACTTTGACGAGTTACCCCTTAGGAGCTCATAAAAAAAATATTTTTTTCTGACTTTTTTGACCTACCCCCTTTTCTTTGATACCCCTTTTCAGCCCCTTAGGGTTGGTTGCCAGGATTTGCCGTAGGCGTTTTGTTTTCTAGGAGTGAACCTTAAGATACCCTGAAAATTTGAAGTCTCTAGCACATCTCCTTCTAGTGGAACAGACAGACAGACAGACACACACACACGAGGTCGTTTGCATAAGCCCGCTGGATAGCTTTTTCAAAGCAGAAGGGCGGGCTAGAAAGGGTATTTGCGCCTGTGGCGATGCCAGGTAGACCGCCCACATTACACGCCTGTAGAGTGTTTGGCTTAGCTGACAGGCGCTTTTGAAATAATTTGAATTTTCACCGCCATTGCGTCAGCGCTACCTGGAGTTTTTCTCTTAGTATGGGGCGGGGCCCCCCCGATGTCCGCTATAAAAACATATTCGAAACTGCCAATTCGCTCCGTCAAACATGCATTGAAAAATACTCTACTGCTATGCCACAACGAGACATCAATGATAAATTTCACTATAAATATGCTCTTCCTTAAAAAACATTGTAAAAGCTATTAACTCCATTAAGTAAAATGGTAAGGGTGTTGATCTCATTCCTGTTACTTTTATCAAGCTGTGTTTACCTGTTATATTACCTGTGCTAGATCATATATTTAATTATAGCCTGCAGAACAGCGTTTTCCCTACCATTTGGAAGAAGGCTATTATTTTACCTCTACCTAAAGTTAAGAATCCTTCGGAACCAAAGGACTACCGTCCAGTCAGCAACCTGTGTACCCTGAGTAAAGCATTGGAAAAAATAGTCCACCAACAGGTGTGTGAATATCTTGATCATAATCTAACATTGAATGTAGCTAAAACTCAGGTCATAATACTGGGAACTAAGCAATATTTAACACAACATGGGTACGAACTTGCTGTGACACTGGATTCACCTTAGCAGCTGAGAAGTAGGGTTCATAGGGTCTCACCTAACCCGTGCCCCGCCGTTCCTAGGTGCACCAGCCAAACGCAGCTGAGGATCTGAAATCTTGCGCGTTAAAGTGATAATTGGGAAAAATGACTCAAGTATTAAAAGTGTAGTTCCTTTACAAACCCAAAGTTACCGGAACTTATTTTTTGGTTGATTTGTTTAAAAAGGAACCTACCTACATAATTATTATTACCTAGTTTTGATCACCTGGCTCGTTTTAACTCATAAAAATAACCAGAAACAACAAGTTTAAAACTAGGGGCTAACTGTAATGTAAGGCCTTAAGGAGAAAAGAAAAAAATATTTGGAAAAAAGATATATATTGTTACCTGTGGTTTTTGATTTTTTTTTAAAGTCAATTTTTGAGAGCTAGAATACTCATCTTCGAACTCGATCTGTCTTTTTATGATACAAAACGACCATGGAATTCCCAGATTGCTAGCTCAATTTTTTCTCGAATTATCGTGCGGACAGGCAGACAAACAAACAGAATGAAACTTTTTCGGTCAGTGAGTAATGGGCTTCGCTAATCGCTCAGCCAATCAACGTTTTAGTGATACTAGATAATCTAGGGGACCCGTAAGCCCAAAAGATGGTGTGGGTCGACCCGTAATGTGTGGTTTAAGTATTACTCCCTTTACGATTCTGTGACATGAAGCCTTTTTAACGATTTAATAGATCATTTTGTCTTTTTCACGTTGTTGTGTTACGGTAGCTGAATGGTCAAGGCTCCAGGTTCGTAACACAAAGGTTCCGGGTTCAAATCTCAACGTCATCATCATCAGTTTGAGTGACCTTACAGCCGTGTGTGACTACCCAGGGTAAAAAAACCATGATTGTCATGGTCAAATTGAGA